CAAGGGAGCCTGGTGGAGATCAAACGACAATGGTCCCAGGTGGAGCCTAGGTGTGTTGGGTGAAGAAAGAGTGTGTAGAGTGATGAAGAACAGGCTGTGCTAGCTGGTTATGGATAGAGTGGTGATAAATACACTTCTTTGCAGGATGGGACCAATGGCAACAAAGACAACTCTGTACAGGATGGGGACCAATGGCTATGAAGAACAGAATATGCTGGATGGGACCAGCAGCAATGAATAAACATCTATACAACTGGGTCTTCTAGAGGCAGAACAGGTTTGTGGGTGGGAATCGGGGCCAAATGAATGGCTGGCTTCCATGAAAAAGGCAGGAGAGGAAACCTGGGTGTGAACATTTAAAAACACTGAACATGTGTTGGGTAAAAAAACAGGCTTAGTGTTAGACTGGACCAGTGGTGACAAAGACAACTCTGTACTGGATGGAACCAGTGGCAATGAAGAATGGACTGGATGGGACCGGTGGTAACAAAGACACTTCTGTGCAGGACAGGACAAGTGGCGATGAAGACAACTCTGTGCAGGACGGGATCAGTGGCAATGAAGAACAGACTGCAGAACGGGACTTCTAGAGGCAGAAGAGGTTTGTGGGCGGGATCAGAGTGGAAGCTGTTCCTCTGCTTTCCAGCCAATCAGCCTTTCCTCTTCTTCCAGCTCCACTAATACTCCCACTGGCACAAATGTAATGGCTCACATACCTGGTCAGTTGAGACCTCAGACTCGTCCTCCAAGAAGAACAAGGCTGCTGGCTCTGGCTCCGTAGTGGGCATTAACTCATGCATTATGTCAGTGGCAGGCATAAGCTGGGTCTCTTGGTCTAGGAGTGGTGACTGATTTTACGTGGGGCCGGACACTGGGAACGGGATCTTCTTCAACCTCACCCACTGTAAAAGAGGATCCCTCAATCCATAGGGCAAAATTGGTGTAATCCACCAGGGTCCAGCAAGAATTACCATGAGGCATGATCAGTCTAGTACCTAAAGAATAAGCAGCAGTACCTAAAGAACAAGCACTAGTAGCTAAAGAATAAGCACTAGTAGCTAATGAATAAGTCCTAGTACATAATATTATAGATACTAATAGCTAAATTAGTAGTCAGATTAAAATAGATAATAGTAAATTTTTAAGGATTAAAAGTTAAACTTGGCTTGCCATATTAGGATCACTGTTACTATATTGAAAGTAAGGCCTTTAATGCAAAGCGCACTGTACATTAACCTCACCTATGTCAGAAATACAAATTCTAAACCATTTGAGAGGTGAAAACCATTGAATCAATGTTAAAAAATAGTTGATTTGTCAATGTTAATGGCAATTAATTAATATCACTTTTGCACCTGCAATTAATGTTTAAAAAATTTTGAAATTTCAACAAACCACCATTATTGTGATCAGTGTTTGCTTGAGTTGGGCTCTTGACTCTTGCTTTTCATTAAGGTAATTCTCTTTCAGTGCTTACAATATTGTTTCAATATAAACAAGTATGCATTAATAAAGAAAGAGATGTATTAAAGTTAAGTTGGAGTAGATTACTTTTTGTAATGTGTGTCAAGCTGTAATAAAGCTGAGAAATAATACTAAAAATGTGGAAGTTGATCTTTCATTACTGATGTAAATGTTCTGTTTCACAAATGCAAAGATACTGTGGCAAAATACACAAAGATTTAGACATCAACACTGCCGTAGGTACAGTATATGTACTGTATATAACTTGACAGCCAGGTAAACTCTTCCCTAACATCAATACTCTGAAGACATAAGTAGTAAGTACCATTTACCATATGTCAAGAAAGATTTATGGCTTTGACCTTTTCCCCTCCCCCACGTAGCCCACCCACATCGCGACCACGAGTCATTTATAATTCAACGATTACAAAAATATACACAAATGCCCCAGAGCAGAATTGTCTGTATTCAAATGGCCATTTTCTTAGTGATTTGGTCTCTTGAGTTACATAGGAGTTTTCTCAAAAAATTCCTTTATATTTTGTGTCTGTAGCATTTTCAAGAGTGTGGAACTTTTAACAACCTCAAACTTTACTGAATGTGTAGCTTTGAGCTCGATGGTGTGATTGATATTTTTCAGTTGTAATAGTTGTATGTGTAAATCAGCAAGCCTTACTTTTCGTGTTGACGGTTCATCGTATTTATATGGAGATGGTAGGGGTGGAGCGGTACACAGATGTCACGGTTCAGTACGTACCTCGGTTCGGGGGTCACGGTTCGATACGATTACGGTACAACAGGGAAAAAAAAATCTATTATGCTTGGTTTCTTTTCATTTATTTTGAACAGACAGTAGTACAAATAAAAAAAAAATCCACGTAGCTGTGAAAATACTAAATATTATTACATTGTTATATATATAAAAAATCTACAGTACATATATACATACAAGGAATAAATTCTTGAAATATATTTGATTTAGTTTACAGATAAACAAGAGAAAAAAACAGTGCGACACAAAACGTAGCCTATATACGCTGAGTTTCAGTTCATTTTTGTGACCGGCTTAATTTGTTCACAGAAAGGAAACTCAAATGGCAGAAAGCGACATCCTATTTGTTTTCTTTATTTTACAAAACCACAATGTTTTGTTTTCATTGTGAGTGTACACAAATAAAATCAGAACTTTAACAGCGTTGCATTGCTGCGGGCGCCCCCTTCTGGATTGAGGGTGAATTGCCTGTATTCGCTGTAAGGCCTCATGCACCGAACCGAGATGTCCGTACCGTGACGGATTTTCTGAATTTTCATTTATTTCTATAAACACTGAATGCTGACGGCTCTTAGAGAGAAGGCCTCGCCTACAGTCATAGTAATGACATTTACAATCCAACAAACAAAATGTGTACAGCGTCATACGTAATCCTGATCATCTGACTTAGTAAAATGTCAGTCACAATAGATCAAGAGGAGGTTTTTCTGTATTCTGTATGCATTATGGCACTTTTCTTAAATGATGTGTAACCGTTGTCTGGGTAACTATAGGTCGCCTGAATTTACAACTGTGGCCCCATAGATCTTGTTCGGATATTATCTTTGTGGTCTCTATAGGAGGAAAGCATGGACGATAATGTTTATTCTATATGTGAGTCAAAAATAATAATAACCTAAGAAAATAGTAATAAACAGGTGAAACAAGCTCAGCTGATACAACTCTTTAAATATGTGTTGGATGGTGAAAAATCCACATTAGACAAGCCTTTAAAAAAAGCATGAAACCATGGTACTCGTGCAAAAAAAAAATGTTGAATGAATGTAAAATGTTTTCTTTGTTCGGTTAAGAAGCTTCATCTATTGGAACTTAGAAAATAAGACCAGTTCCACTCGGATGATGAACACCTCGGGGAAAATCATTTTAAATGTAGGTTTGTCAAAAAGAAAGAATAATCTGTTATCTGGTTTAGTTGTATTTAAAAAAAGGATCTGTTTGGAGTTGGCATTCCCTACTTTTAAAAACACTGCAACAACCTCATTTGTCAACATGATTCTTTTTGAGTCCTGAACATTGAGAACATTGAGTCCTCTGCACAATGTGACATTGCTGCAGCCTGGAATTGAACTGCTGGTTTCGTCTGGCCAGAGGAGAACTGGCCCCCCTACTGAGCCTGGTTTCTCCAAAGGTTTTTTCTCCATTCTGTCACCGATGGAGTTTTGGTTCCTTGCCGCTGTCGCCTCTGGCTTGCTTAGTTGGGGACACTTAATTTCCAGCGATATCGTCGACTTGATTGCACAGATACTATTTAAACTGAACTGAGCCAGAGGCGACAGCGGCAAGGAACCAAAACTCCATCATATAGTGAGGTAGATAGAGAAAAATAGGCTTCTAACAATCAGCTCAATAAAATGTAACACTGTCCCCAAATAATGATCTGCAATCGTAGATATTGTTAAAAACAGTCAATACATACCCACGATGCTACAACAGACGCAAAATGTATGCAAATATCACAGTATAGCTTCAAATACACTAAACATGCTACTCTCTGTGTCATGCTTGCTCACTTCCTCATTAATGGTAACATGGCATGACTCTTTATTGAAACTTAAGATTCTTAAAGGGACCACAACCAAAAAAAAAAATCATAGAGATTAGCTTCAAAAACTAAAACAAGACTTGAAACATATTAAATGGTAACAAAACAACACTCGTCATACAAACCTCAACAATGGTGACAATCATCAAACTAATTCAGATCAACTGCAATGCATGCTGGGAGTCATGAATGAGTTTTGTACTGTTGATACTCAGCATGCATTTCAGCATAAAATTTTATTTTGTTGATTGTCACCATTGTTGAGTTTCATATGCTGATTCTTGATGTCTAATTGACAGATTAAAAAAAACAACACACTTGTGAGCAATTATTTAAATAATCTCACAATGATTAACATCACTTGATTCCAATGGATCTTATTTTTTATTGCCTCAACAAATGCATTTTAGCACATTGTTACAAGTGACAATGAAAACCTAACCTAATGTTAAAGTACAGAGTCAAGAGCCTAACTAAAGTGAACACTGATCACAATAATGGTGGTTTGTTGAAATGTCAACATTTTTCAACATTAATTGCGGGTGCAAAAGTGATTTTGATTCAATGCAATTAACAATGAAAAATCAAAAAAATTTTTTACATTGATTCAATGGTTGCTTGCTATCAGGGACCTATTACCTCCAATAATGACAGCCTCACAAATGCTAACGAAGATACGCAAACCCCTACTTGGGGTTGCTAAATATTTACAAGGGGTTGCCAAGCTCATTCTAATTTGAAGTTTACAAATAGAGTTAATGGTTACAGTTTGATGATTGAAGGTTTTATGTGTAGACCAGTGATGTTCAGTATGCCTTAAATATGGAAATTGGTCTATAATATCAGTTGCTTTTTGGCACAGAAGAAATTATGTATTAATGTATTTCCATTTATTTATTTTTCTTGCTTTGTTTTTCTAACCTTTTTTGTTTCTCTCTCTCTCTCTTTCAGTTAGCCACAGTAGAACATCTCCTCGCATTGGACCGAACACTTGCTAATTGTCATGATAGTGATGGTTACACCCCTCTACACCGTGCTGCTTACAGTGGCCATTATGTTGTGGTTTCTGCTCTTTTGAATGCTGGAGCGAATCTTCATGCAAGAACTACTGATGGTTGGATGCCGCTACATAGTGCTTGTCGCTGGGGTCATGCCACTGTAGCTTCGTGTCTTTTGAATTGGGGGGCAGAGGTCAATGCCTTGACAGCGGGGCGACTCACACCCCTACAACTGGCTGCTGGAAATACTGCAGCTGGGCAGACGATTGAGTTATTGCTGTCACAGCGCACCCTACAGGCAGGACTGAAAAACAGTGCAGGAGAGACTGCTTATGACATTGCACATCGCACAAGTGAACATCACAGGCTGTTTGAGATGGTAGAGCCTTGTAATAAAATATACTGACATGCGTGTGCACAGGGTGAAATTCTGACATCAAGCTTAGAACTGTGTCTTATTATTAATAAATGTAGATGAGAAACTACTCTGTTTTTCTATGAAGAGTAGAGGACATTGTCATTTAAAAAAAAAAAACAAGAACTGGTCATCAGCATGCAGGAAATAAGCAGATGTTCACAACAATGTGTAATTATAATCATTAAAAATTATGAGCATGTCTTTGCATGCGTGTGTGCATGTGAGGGTGCATTTTCTGTGCATGATGTGCTTAAAATCACAGCTTCGTTCACAGCATTCTGAAGATAAGAAAATGTTCCTGATGCTATTATTGATTATTATTAAATAGCTTCTCTTTTTAAACTTTAACTAATTTTAATTACTTTTGTGGTTCATTTTATTTCTTCTGCACTGTGACAAATTAATTTTTAAAGTACAAATAGTCCATACTCTGTTTTTCTATGAAGAGTAGAGGACATTGTCATTTAAAAAAAAAAAAACAAGAACTGGTCATCAGCATGCAGGAAATAAGCAGATGTTGACAACAATGTGTAATTATAATCATTAAAAATTATGAGCATGTCTTTGCATGCGTGTGTGCATGTGAGGGTGCATTTTCTGTGCATGATGTGCTTAAAATCACAGCTTCGTTCACAGCATTCTGAAGATAAGAAAATGTTCTTGATGCTATTATTGATTATTATTAAATAGCTTCTCTTTTTAAACTTTGTTAACTAATTTTAATTACTTTTGCGGTTCATTTTATTTCTTCTGCACTGTGACAAATTAATTTTAAAAGTACAAATAGTCCATGTAGTCTCTAAAATAATACAACATTTCTGTGTCCTCTGAATCTTTAATAAATATAAAACCTAGAAATAAATTAGATGATAGATAGATAGATAGATAGATAGATGATTGATTGAAAATAGGTGAACAGCCACAACTACACATTGATATACTTTTATTTTCTATTCAGTTGTGAGGGAGAAATGTTGAAGTGGGTGATTTTGTTTTCCTTTCAAGCCACACAGTGCTCCATGGGTGCAAAGAAAGACCCCTTTAAGCTATGACCCGGTTTTGAGCCGGTGCCACATCGAGCGCCTGTAATATAACAGTAAAGACTAATTAATGGTGGAAGTACACACGCTCACTCTCTGTGAGTATCTTGTAACAGTTATCCTGTTACATGGATGAAATTTTTCATCCTGTCCTCTAGAGGGCAACAAAGAGAAATGGTTTTAAGGTTTCCTGGAGTATAGAGGAAGGAGAGGAACCTAAATGTTGTAATTGTAGAAGCCCACACAGTGTGGCGTTTCTAGGTTGTAAAGCCCAAAAACTAGCTACAGAAGCAATGAAATACAAAACAGTACAAAATATTTCATATGCTCAAGCAGTTAAGCAAGTACAAGCTGTTAATGGAAATCTGAAGGAAAACAACACAACCCAATTTAAAGATACATGCAGTCATAAATGTCTCTTGGATGGAAACATGCTTGTGGTAAACAAAATTAATTTTGTGGCATTTATAGCAGAAGTCATTAATTGCTCAGCTCAAACAGCAAAAAGAACTGAAAAGCTGAAAAGCATAATATCCGCAGCTGCTCGACATTTGAGTGTTACTGAAATTTTAGTTGAACAGATTCAGACGTTACTTGGACAAACCAAGGCAACCACAGTGTTATGTGATCCTTCGGGAAGTCAAAGAAGTAAAGCCATGAAATGAAAATACTACAACGGAATGCCCGAAGTTTGATTGCGAATGGCCAAGAATTTAAAAGATTTGTACATCAGTTAACAATTTTACCAGACATTATTTGTATTCAGGAGACTTGGCTTCATCCGCAAATTAAATTTAGTCATTCCTAGTTACAGGTTGGTTAGAAAAGATAGAATTGGATCAAATGGTGGGGGATTTGGAACCTTTGTTAAAAATGGGGTGGCTTTTAGAGAAATAATATTAGATACCCAGAGTGAATGTGTTGTGGTAGAGGTATGGTCACAGGAAGGTGGGATAAAGGTGGTCAATTTTTATAATCCTTGCAATCAGTTAACATTAGATTAATTTAATATAATAAGAAATAAGGCTGGGGATCATTTAATATGGTGTGGGGATTTTAATGCTCTAGGCAAAAGCACTTTATTTGGCCTTCCGGAAGTAGATGCATTTAGGAATCTTTAAGATTACTTACAACAGAACAGCAATGCATTTTATGGACGACCGTTTCGTGAACCTAGGAGAGGAGGTAATTCTGACTTTGCTATGACAATCTGGCGCTTCTGAATCAGCTACTGTTTTGTTATTAGTTTAAGTATTTGCTATTGACTGTTCAAATGCGGAGTTTTGCGCATCGTGTGTGTGTGTGTGTGTGTGTGTGTGTACGCAACGAAGCGTTTGAGAGAGGCGGGGCATATAGGACCTACAATAATGTACAGTATTTGAAAAATAATGTGTTTTTTGAACATTAAAGCATGTCAACATATTCTGTTACACCAAATACACAAAAGAATGATCTTTAAAAAAGCATCATATGACCCCTTTAATATAAGCATGAATTAAATTTGATTTCTATAAAAGATCTCACACTGCTTAGCTTACAACTACCACGCATTAAATACATTGTACTTTTATTATTTAAAAATAATAATAATAATAATAATAATAAAGTGGTTTAATCATTAATAGATAAAGACAAAACATTTTTTTTTTTTATTAAAAATAATATTTAAAATAATAATGCGTTTTTTAAATAATCAGGTTTCGGTGGATTTTTAGTCTTCTACTTTTATTACAAATCATTTTACTGACTGCATTAAAACATAATTAAAAAGGAAAAATCTTTAAAGACAACTGATGCGTTTTAAAATAATGAATGATTCGGGTTTCACCAACATCTGGCAACCAACGGCTTGGCTTTGACAGTCGTCTGGGACTGGGTCCGTGTTGCCATATCCCTGTAATTATACGTCACTTTTCACTTGTTTCCTCGTCAGACCAGGTTGCTTGCTTTTCTCGCGAGTTCTGGCAACACTGGATTGGGTTACAATCACCCATCCAGAGCTTCAAATAGCAGCAGCAGCGGAGATCGACACAGCCGACTGAACGATCTCGATCGGCACGGTGGCTCTGTGGGGAGGAGAATCAGAGCTCGAGCAGTTTGGCGGGTTAGCATCAACTGTGCTGAGACTGGAGAGGATGGATGCAGGTAGTATGGATGATGAAGATGATTCTTCAATAATTGATAGTGAGGGATGGTCTCAGGTACCAGACGCATCAAACAAACGAAAAAATAGAGAATCTGAGTCGGATGACAATATCACAGAGATAGGAGGAAATAACAAAACCAGGAAAATGGAGGTGGAATATAAAGTAATAGTAGCATTTTCCGGAAAAATCGAAAACATCAACAATCCAATGAAATTTACGAAAATAATAAAGAAAGTACTAGGCAATGTTAACTCTGCAAGGTACTTAACAAACAATCGCGTCCTCATTTTTTGTGTAAATAGAAAGCAACAAGAGAATGCGTTAAAGATCAAAGAACTAGGTGGTGCAGCAGTCAAATGTCATGTACCGGGGGAACTTGATAATCTTAAAGGAGTAATCTTGGGGGTGCCTGTGTCCTTATCTGAAGAAGTATTAAAGACACAGATAAAGAATGAAATGGTGACAGAAGTGAAGCGTTTGCAGTCTAGTAAAAATGGTAGGAAAGAAGATAGTACTACTGTTGTATTAACATTCAATTGCAAAAACTTGCCGGAACGCATAAAAATTGGATATATGTGCTATACGGTTCGCCCGTATATAAGACCAGCACTGAGATGTTTTAACTGCCAAAGATTGGGACATGTTGCAGCAGTTTGTAAAGGGAGAAGAAGATGTTGCAAATGTGGCGGAGATCATGATTATGGGCAATGTGGTGAGGGGATTGAACCTAAATGTTGTAATTGTGGAGGTCCACACAGTGCAGCGTTTCTAGGTTGTAAAGCCCAAAAACTAGCTACAGAAGCAATGAAATACAAAACAGTACAAAATATTTCATATGCTCAAGCAGTTAAGCAAGTACAAGCTGTTAATGGAAATCTGAAGGAAAACAACACAACCCAATTTAAAGATACATGCAGTCATAAATGTCTCTTGGATGGAAACATGCTTGTGGTAAACAAAATTAATTTTGTGGCATTTATAGCAGAAGTCATTAATTGCTCAGCTCAAACAGCGAAAAGAACCGAAAAGCTGAAAATCATAATATCCGCAGCTGCTCGTCATTTGAGTATTACTGAAATTTCAGTTGAACAGATTCAAACGTTACTTGGACAAACCGAGGGAACCACAGTGTTATGTGATCCGTCGGGAAGTCAAAGAAGTAAAACCATTAAATGAAAATACTACAATGGAATGCCCGAAGTTTGATTGCGAATGGCCAAGAATTTAAAAGATTTGTACATCAGTTAACAATTTTACCAGACATTATTTGTATTCAGGAGACTTGGCTTCATCCACAATTAGATTTTGTCATTCCTGGTTACAAGTCGGTTAGAAAAGATAGAATTGGATCAAATGGTGGGGGATGTGGAACCTTTGTTAAAAATGGAGTGGCTTTTAGAGAAATAATATTAGATACCCAGAGTGAATGTGTTGTGGTAGAGGTATGGTCACAGGAAGGTGGGATAAAGGTGGTCAATTTTTATAATCCTTGCAATCAGTTAACATTAGATTAATTTAATATAATAAGAAATAAGGCTGGGGATCATTTAATATGGTGTGGGGATTTTAATGCACATAATTCACTGTGGGGAAGTTTATGCACAGATTGGAATGGAAGGGTTGTAGAAGAGTTTATGGAGGAACAAGCTTTAGTGTGTTTAAATGATGGGAAAGGAACTCGATTCAATATAAGGGATTATTCAACTTCTTGTCTAGATCTAACAATAGTTCCGGGAACTATAGCATTGGAATGTAGATGGGAAGTCCTAGATCATTCAACATTAGGTAGTGATCATTTTCCAATAATATGTGCTTTTGGAATGGAAATTTATCAACAAAATAAAACAAAGCAAACCTGGTGGAAATTTGATAAAGCTGACTGGGAAAAATGTAACAAGTTATGCATTGATGGAATGGAGAATTATAGTACTGAAGATGATATAGACCTATGTTCTGAAAGATTAAATTAAATTATTATAAATGCAGCTGAAGAATCCATTCCTAAATCAGATAAAGATAGAAATAGGGCATTCAGGGAGCTTAGGAAAACATATTTCTTATTTCTTACAAGTTTCTTATTTGGTCGAACGATTCAAATCAA